CATTTAATCTCAGGGTTTCATTCTTTCCAACACTCTTAATAGAGCTGGTTTCCTAACTGAATAACAGCAGTTAAGAAACACTATTGTGTGCTCTCTTTCTCTCCACACAAGGCTTCAAGTTGTGTTGTCAGTGGCAATGCTGCCTTAAGCTATACTGAATCCCACATGCTCCTGCTCTTGAGCCAGCAAAACACTTCTTAGAGCAGCCTGAGTCTTACATGAAGTCCTTCAGCTGAGGAGGTGACAAGAGATGTCTCCACCAGGGATAAGATCCATTTTCAAAGCAGGTCAGTAAGAAATGTCAGGAAGCAACTAAAAAGAATATTCTGATTCACTTTTTTTTTATGTACAAGTCCTCCTCCTCACAGCTGAAGCTGGCTGGAAGATCTCTACTTCATGGTTTATCTGGTTAAAAAAATAAAAATCTAAGTATGAAGTCTGTTTGAATATATATGTAATACCTGTTCTAATGAGATTCTGGTTTATTACTTGCTTTAACTTTACCAAATTCTTTGCTAACAACAACAATAAAAAGTAATAATAGCCATGGTAATAACCAGATTTTTTAGTCTTAGGCAACAATCTGTAATTTAGAACTATAGGTATTAACATCTCAATTTAAAGTATTTATTGAATTTCATAAACTCTGTTTCAGAGATGCATGAGTCTCACAGTTTGTTTTTGTGGCAATAATCTAAAGAAACATCCTGTGGCAGACTTTTTAAAAGGGTGTTTAGGGTATTTTTTCTTGAAGATTTAATTTAATGAGATTTGGAGATACATTAAAGTTATGCACAAATTAATTATTGTGTTGAAGAAGGATTGACCTAAATAGCTCTTAAAAAACCATCTTGAATCAGCATCCATGGCCCATAGAAGGGAAGTGAAATTGTACCATCCTCTCCTCTAGCTTCTCAGATCCTTGAGGAGCAGTGTAGAGCAGATCATGTTAGGTCATGCAGAGAGACTATCACCCTTGTTCTGTGATATAACAAAATAATTTATTAATTACCCAAGAAACAGAGGAACCCCCATGCTATAGAGAAGGCCAAGAATCCCAACAGGTCTTGCCAAATCTTATCAAAAGCTCCCTCCCAGTCCCGAGCTGGGCTGTGGGTTTATTCATGGATATCTGACCAGGATTCACCAGCTGACCTCATCAAACACAAGGATGTCTGTATCCTCCAACCATCAGTGTCTACATGACTTGTCTCCAGTGCTGCACACTGGGATGTGTCTGGAGGACTCACTTCACTTGGCTCCCATAGATGCTCTGGGATCTCTCTGAACTGGAACATTTGAAATGTGTAGACGATAGAAGGATGAGATCCACTAACTTCATATTTCTAAGCAGGTACTAATAACAGGCGTAAATCTAGCATAGGTACAGAAGCCTTTTGCATATTTGGAAGCCAAAAGAGAATCAGAACAGATTTTTGTGTCCTCAGGAGAATAAATAACAAGTGAACAAACAGTGTAGGAAGCAAAGAGTAATGCTACCTTGTAGATTACTTGCTTGGTTAGTCATTTTCAACAGCCGCAACACAAGTGATAATCCACGAAGTCAGTGAATCATGTGGAACAGTCAGCAGGAAATGCTGAGGAGCTGATATACCACACAGACAGCACACACTTGTGAACCATAGGGCACTGAAAAAGTTACTTTCCCCAGTCAACCCTGTGACTGGGAAAATATATGGACTTTGTTAATAGTCAGGAATGTAAGAGGGTCTTAGGTGACTCAGAAGCTCCAGAGCAGAGTGCTGGGAACTCAGGAGGGCTGGCAGACCAGTGAAGCACAGGTATGTTTTTGCTGGACCATCAAAACTCTTACATGTTTAAAGTGGTTTGGGGTTTTTTTGTTTGTTTGTTTGGGTTTGTTTTGTTTTGTTTTGTTTGGGGTTGTTTTGTTTTGTTTTGTTTGGGGTTGTTTTGTTTTGTTTTGTTTTGTTTTGTTGTTTTGTTTTGTTTTGTTTTGTTTTGTTTTGTTTTGTTTTGTTTTGTTTTGTTTTGTTTTGTTTTGTGGAACCTTGGCTGAGGAGGCAGAAACAGTGTAAATTTATTGCAAATTAAGAGCAATCCAGTCTTATTTCAGCCTCTCCTGGGTACTAACACTTCATCTACCCTAAGATTTAGACTCTTGAAATTTTGATTTCCTATCTCCAGGGTATTAAAGAGAGGCAACAGGGTGAGACAAATGTACTCAAATATCTCTTAGAAATCAAACAACTTTTGAAGAAGAGATCAAGAAGTGAAATAAAACATAATTTTGGTTCAGGGTTTTTCTCTATACTATTTTTTTTTCTTTTCATTGTGGTCCCTCCTTCCCCCACCCAGACAAAATACAGCTATGACAACATGGAAATCCCCTGAGCAGCACAGCTCTGATAATAAGATTGTTCAGGTTCAACCAAAATATTATGTCTGAGAAGTCTTTTTCTTTTAGTTTGCTCCAGCTGAAACAGGAAAAAAGAAAAAAAAAAAAAAGATCAAAGTGATAGCCCACTCAATTATAAACAAGACAAATTTAAAGTGAGAAGGTGTCATTTCCGGATAGCGATCATTTTGCACAGGAGAGCCCTCCTTTATTGATATTTCTGGCTGAAAATTAGGTAGAAGTTAGCCTGAAGGTTTATAGAATAATATGATATTGAATATTATTAAGCCAGGTGCTGAAATCCTTAAATAACTTTTTTTTAAAGCAAGCCATGGCTAGGCCTCAGGGGTGTTAAGTCACGGGGACTCGATCTCACTGATTCAAGTTTGTCTTCAATGAGACAAGCACAGGAAACTCAGAAGGGACAGATGAGGACTAACTACTCCTAAAGTCTCACCAGGTGACTCAGGCCTCTGAAAGAGGGTATTTCATGAAGGGAGATGATGTGAACGGGGCAGCAGCCCAAGTAATTCTGCAAGTGAAGTCAAGCTCTTGAACGAGGGTCAGTCAGGCCATGGTCCTGCCATCTCCAGTGGCTCCTTGGCCCCGGTGCCATGTCCAGCTCCTGCTCTGCTTTGTATGTATGGGTGGTTGCTGTGGCCTGGCAGATCCCTCTCCTGTTTGTGGGTGGGAGGTATTGTAGAGATCTGTCAAGCAGATATATACCCCCTGCCTTACCTTGGGCGCTTTTTGAATTCAATGGGGAGAAATAAATGTATTTAGGGGTTTAGATTTCATCTTTTCAATGTCTCTGCTAGGACAAGTTGGATCATGCTCTCCACTGGATAGATGCAAGTGAAGCATGAACAGGTCTAACATAGGAGTATACACTGTAAATACCTACATATTGACCAGTGAATCCAAAAACATTTTCTGGTATCTACCTAGGCTTAGTGCACTTTAAGGGCATGCTTTGTTGGGATGCTTCAGGGTCGTACCACAAGGAGGGACTTGATATGAGAGATGTACATCTGCCGGGCAGACTCACTGAGCTCTCATGGAAAGAGGGCCATTTCTTTTCACTAAAACAGGGCAAGGGAGTCCAGAAACACCTCCTTGGCTGCACACTGCCACCTGCTCAGGGCAGCAAGTGACACTGGAGGTTAGTACCTGATGTGCTGGCAAGAAGGACACTTTTCTAAATATGAGGGCTGATCTTTCTTCATTTTGGTGGGTGGTTTAAATTATTTCCTTGAAAATGAAAAAGCTGTTGTGGCTTCCATATTGCGTCTCCTTATTATAGTGTCATCATTTTTCTGTGTGCCTGGGCATTGTTACCATCTTTGCCCTTGGTTTCCTTTACGCCTCCAACATAAAGGTTTTTTGGTGCAGCTGGGGCTGTGCCAGAGCTTGCTCTTCTCTTTCAGGTCTTCAGCTCACTTGTAGTTAGCCACATCAGTCAGCTGTGTGCATGGCCTTGCGTTATGCTCTAGTGTGCGTTGGTGTATACAGCCACAGAAAGTGTGCAAAGGAAATATTTAACACCTCTTTATCTTCAGCTTTCTGCCTCTGCTTTGTCCAAAGCCTGAACAAATATGAGATGTACCACTTCGTTCTAAAGAGCTAGGTTTTGCAGGTTTAGTCTTTTAAATCACAGCTTTTCTGGGTCAGCACTGCCTTATGTGGGACTTCATAGAATCATGGAATGGTTTGAGTTGGAAGCAACCTTTGAAGATCATCTAGTCCAATCTGTCCTGTCATGCGCAGGGACATCTTCCACTAGGCCGGGTTGCTCAAAGCCCCGTCCATCCTGTCCTTGAACACTTCCAGGGAGGGGACATCTGCAATATCTCTGGGCAACGTGTTCCACTGTCTCATCACCCTCATGATAAAAAAATTCTTCCCTATGACCAATCTATATCTACCCTCTTTCAGTTTAAAACTGTTGTCCCTTGTCCTGTCCCTACAGGCCCTGGTAAAACATCTCTGTCCATCTTTCTTATAAACGCCCTTTATATATTAAAAGGCCACAATAAGCTCTCCCTGAAGCCTTCTCTTCTCCAGGCTGAACAACCCCAACTCTCTCAGCCTGTCCCCATAGGAGAGGTGTTCCATCCCTCTGATTATTTTTGTGGCCTCCTCTGGACCTGCTCCAACAGCTCCATGTCTTTCCTGTCCCGAGGACTCCAGAGCTGGGCACAGCACTGCAAGTGGGATCTCACCGGAGTAGAGCAGAGGGGCAGAATCACCTCCCTCAGTCTGCCAGTCACAGTCTTTTTGATGCCAACACTTAAACAATAAATAACAGCAATCACACCTAGCATTTCATAGCTGGAAGATTTTTCTCCCTTGGACCTCTGTAGCTCCATTGAGAAGAAAGTGGATGAGAGTGCTACACCGTGCTCTCAAAGAAATCAGTAGCGAAAATCCCACTAGCCAAGCCAGGATCACTGTCCATGAAATGTACTCCTGCCCCACTGAATTGACCAGATTTGGCCCAATGAGTCAATGGGCCTGATCCAGAAGGTCCTTAGTTTTGAAGTGGGTAGCATGTTTCAAAGTAAAAGCTCTGTTAATATCTTCATGCTGGCTTCCTGCTCTCTGCCACTAGTCATCCTTGTCGGCATGTTTACATTTCCCCTTGCCTGCGGTCTCTTTATCAGGCAATGGGTTTGTTCTGTGTCTAGTATAAAGTAAGCGAGCGCAAGTTTCACACACACACGTACTGCACACATGCAGCATGTTCGGCATGACACAGATGAGTACAGTATTGAGCATTTTCGTCTTGTTTCTTCGCACCACTTTTGGGGAAAGTGGTTGCACCTCAGCAGACGGTGATGGTGAGTCATTTCATCTTCATATTTCCACTCATGTATGATCTTGAGAAACCTGAGTTAAGAGCTCCAAAATGCAACTGCTGGGTTAAATGTGTTAGTGTTTTAACATCTAGTCTCTTTCCTTTAGTGCCTGAGGCAGATGTGGAACTGGAGGCTATCTATTTAATTTAATTCCCAACTCTGCTGTCTTTGTAATGTCCAAAATCATATGAAATGAAGGAGACCATATCTGTATGCAGAGGGCATGCAAGATCAGACCTGTTAATCCTCTCTCGTATCTAGTGTTCATGTGAGGAGTTATGCTTGGGAGTGGGAACTGCTTCATTCTTCTGCAGTCCATGGTCACTCTGAGCTGCCATCAGAGAGGAGTGAGTTTCTGGGTTCTCTTGCTCTTGGCAGTTTCCTCCAAATAAAATGTTTCAATGTATCTCAAACTTGGCTCAAAGTGTTCTACTTCAAAGCCAAACTTCTTCTCTTTTTTTTTTTTATAATTAATTGCATCACGTGTATCTGGGGGATAGTCCCAATATCCCTTCTAGTATGGCTGAAGCAGCAAGTCAGCCAGGGTGTTCTCACAGCCCATCACTAAGAGCATTCATCCCTTACTGAACAAATAATTATAAATTAATTTAACAGTTTAAATTTAGGCTTATTGCAGATTTCATTATCTCATGTGGAGAATTTAAAATCATTTACCAGCATCAAAATCATAAATCAAAACATAAAGAGCAGTAATAAAACTACTGTTTCAGACTACTGTCCTTTTTCTCAAAAGGGAGATGAAAATTTGGGTTTCAGATTCAGTCCCAGATCTGTTAAAGTTTTACTTGTCCAATACTAAACAAACAGCAGTGACAGAGCTTGTTGCACTCGCTCAGTTAATGGTAGATTTAGGGCTCCATTGTTTGGGAGAAAAAGAGTTTTTGTTTTTTAGGAAGATATTAGCTGTATTCCTATGCTATCTCACAGGGAGAGAATCATATTTTCCCCTGTGTGTCATATATTATAACATGTACATATGTACATACACATATGTATGTACATACATATATACGTAGGTAGGATATGAGTGATGACATTTTAGTTAGAAGAAAACAGGGAGTGGCTCAGAACTGCATCTAACAACCTTGTTTTTTCTGTTTGTCTTTTATTTATACACTGCAGCTGTTTAGAACCAGGTTTGGCAAGCAGCTACAGTGGTGAATGGTCAATGCTAGTGGTTTATCACTGGTGTCACTGAAATCTTTAGGGCTTCCCAGAAGTAGATAGGACTGGACCTTTCCTTGTTTTGTCACTAATTTCCAGTAAACCAGAATTTGCTTAGACTTAAAGACAAACAGATTCAGACAATCCCCACTGAGCAATTATCAGCTTTTATGATTTCTTTATGAGTCTCCTGGGTTTGGTCAACAAACTGAACAATCCAGGGTAAAACCACCTGTGATAGATGTTTGGCTTTCACTCTTTGTCTTTCTGGCTCACCCTGCCTCCTGGCAAAGTGCCACCAGCCGATGAAGGCATGAGCTCACTCGTTATGAGCAGAGGAGGGAAAAGTTCATTGCAGCACTAGCCTTCATCTCCTCCTCTTTTCTGAGCAGCAGACTGTTTCCCAAGTGCTGTCCTCCAGGCTAGCAGAGGTTGCGGAGATCCCCAAAAGCCCTAAGAGAGATAAAAGCAGAGCTAAGAAGGGGCAGTTGCGGAGGCACAGGAGGGCATGGGCAGGGGGAGCAGGAGGCATCAGGCTGTGGGGTCTCATGGGTAGGATAGTTGGCTTCAGTCGTCCTCCTACCTGGACTTGTATTGTTCATCCGACCCAAAACTATTGTGATTAACATGAGTTCTGCCTGAATCACATCAGCACTAGAGATTTTGCATTACTCTGTCCATGGAGACAGTCACTTCACTGACACTGGAAATTCAGTCACTGATCCTGCAGGGACTTAGTAATGCTTTTAGTTTCATGGCACTATTAGTCTCAGTGGCTTCAGAGCTTAAAGTTGAAGCATGTCCATAGCCTCTGCTAGCACTCTTCTTTTGGTAGAGGCTCATGAGATTCCTGCTGTGATTTGCACCATCCTGCAGGGTGTTGTCCAAACCCAAGAAATAATAATTTCTGTGAAGGACCTGCTATGGCAGTAGGTATGAGAGCAGTTTTTCTGCCATTAGAAGCACTCCATCTCAAGACCTGCCTTGATTTCAGCAGTGCCAGGGTCTGACTAATCTGGGCTTCTCAAGGAAGAAATTACATTCTTGTAAACTTTGCACTGTGTAAAGAGTCCTTAGCAGTGTGAGTCATGTCAGAGTCATCAAAACCATTTACATAGCAAACACATCCATATGTCATGGTTCTGAGCTGTAGGGAAGAAGTATAACTGAGACTACAAGCATATTTATGTCAGACAAAAAAATTACTGTCAGCTCATGGAGGAACCATATGAGAAAAAACACCTCAAACTGCTTACTTAACACCGTTCATGAGGTTTAATTATCATATATTCTATGGGTAGGATGTTATTTCCATGAATAAGGAACCACATAATCACATTGTGAAAGTTCAGTGTCAAAAAGGTAAGGTCAGCTTTCCTTCCATTGCGGCACCAAAGGTGCACTACGCTGATTAAACATTAAATGGCTGTTTGAACTGCAAGACAAAAAGCTTTTTCTTTCTTTTTGTTTTACAGTCAGGCTGATAGAGAATGAATTAAAATTTCTGTCACTTTTCAGCAAAGCAGTAGCAGATGGCTGAAAGATTTTTTGTGATATGTCATTTATTAATGTGATGATTATCAGTTTTGTCTGTTTATGTAAAATCTGATACATGTAGTTTGCATATACAGAGAGCACCAAGAAGTCTCTCATATATAAAGGAAGATCAGTCATCCTAATTCATAAATTTTAATGTTGTCTTGAGGTAGCTATGGATATTATAAGCCAATCTTCTGGTTGCTGCAAGTAGAGTCTTAGAGAGGCGTAAAATGTGACATATCTGAGCATGTGAGCTTTGGGTGTATCTATATAAAATATGGGGTTTTTTCCATTTTATGCAGATTCATTTCAGCTTACTTGTTATCCACCGAATTTTGAATATATGCATATCTCTATGCACACATTTTTACCAACAAATATGTATCTTTATGTAATACACATTTCTGTACGTCTGCACAGATGGCTCAGGGCTGTGTTGGTCAAGACCTGGGTGAAACTGCTGCAGGGCCTGTTCTAGCATTGTGCTGACCTCTGTGTCTCTCTCTTCAATGTGATGGTCAAATAGAGCGGCTTTGTACAGCACCCGTTTCTCCATGTCTGTGCTGCACGTTATCCCCTCAAAACACCAGTGCTGGTGGAAAACACCTCATTTCATTGTTCTTCAGGAAGAGCTGGGCTCCCCTTGGGACAGACCCCATCAGAGCTGCAGTGAGAAGCGAAGACCAGTAATTGCTTCTTACTACTGGTTTCCCGTGGTGGCAAATGGACACCAAATCTTAGCTCAGGGGATAGATCTGCCTCTGGGTTCTGGATTAGGGCATCATCAGATGCTCCCATCCCTCTTGCTACCTACCACAGGCGCTGCTGGCAGCAGCCCCTTTCCTAACCCCTGTCCACACTGCTTTTGCATTTTTCTCTGCATTCCTGACTGACTTCTGAATTTCTTCTCTTACTCAAAACCTGACCCCAGATGCACTTCACCTCCGAGGTCAGTAGAAAGCACTGCTGATAGTGACCCTGTGGGGTGATGTTTTTTACTTACATTTTTAAGCAATCAAAAAACTCTCTCCTCCTTTCTCCCTGCTGTCAAGCCATGATCATTTTGGATCTTCAGATGTGTTCCCATGCCAGATGAGGTCTCTGTTTCCCTCTATGCTAGTAGGAGTGACCAGGGATCATAGGATGTCATCAGCAGGACTACGAATCACAGTATCCAAGTATCTGGTCACCCCTCTGTGATCCAATTCACCTAGGTGACAACAGAGATGACCATAATTTTCTCTGGGAGGGATTTTCCATTGGAAATGTTTCCATGGGCACTTCCTCACACTGTTCATGAGTGTGAGCCACCGATGTCCCTGGAGCAGTCAATGTCTTTCTGTGGCAGGTACCCTGCATGGCAAGGGCACATCTGAGGAGTGGGTAGGAGAGGACCAATCAGGGGATCGGGAATAGTCCCTGGACATGGAGAAGAGAGATATGTATCATCACAACTACCCTTGAAGAGGGGGAGACAGAGGTATTCCGGCCCTGAGGATCCTTTCCATGGGTCATGGCAATAACCCTTTCCCTGACCTCTTGGCTACGGTGGGTGAGATGTCATGAAATGAGGCTGAAATTGCAGTTTCCACTGGAGAGGACGCCTCTCAGAAACATCAATTTTTGCTTTACTGACATCATACCTGCCAAGTGTAGGACTTGAGACATATGTACTTACTCAAATCATGATTGTTTTATTAGTCATTGAAGAAAATTTGCAGGAAGCCACGCATTCTGGCAGAAAGTCTGAGCTTTCCCTCCTGAGCCCAAATTAGTGACATTTCAGAAAACTTTGCAGTACAATCAAAATGGGGCTTAATTGCCTTGTGACATCAAAATACTCTTGTTTTCCTAAACCCACTCATATAATTTTCCAGTCTTCTCAGGAACCTTGTGACAGGACAGACCTTCACAACACAAGCAGAGGCAGAGTGGGGGCAGGAGCACGCTCCTTGGGCGCTTTTGGCTGTCTGCAACACAGATGGTCCTGATGCAGGTGCAGCAATGGCAACTGCCAAGCACGTATCCTCGTCTGTGGGTCTGCCACTTTGGAGCGACAAGGTGTTTGATGTACTTTCAGGCTGTCCTGAACTGAAATTCCTATACAAATAACTCCCATTGAAACTAGCCCTTGCATTTGAGTAGATGTTAGCCTTGAGCATCAGTCCCAGACACCTCTGTCAGTAACTGTGTGGGACATATACCCCAGTGCACATTTCTGTTCTGTTTATTTTCAGGAGTGTTTTGGTCCTTGACTTGAATATAGTGCTTTTTAACAGGCATCACGAACATGTCTTGCTCCCCTTCGCATGCCCAAGGATAGCAGCAGTTTGAAGTTCCTAGTAGAAAAACCCATTCAAGAAAGTTCTGAGATGATTTTCAGATGGAGGGTGTCCTGCTTTTATCTTGGTGTAAAGTTTATCTGTAACTTTTACACCAAAAATTTCCATGTCCCTGAGTCAAACTTAGGAGGAATCAAATTGCAGAGCAGACAATATATTTTCAGTTTGGCACCTGACACTGGGACTTTTTCACAGAAGTTTTCAGGTTGACATCAGTAACCCTGTTTGTCCATGATTAATAGAAAAAGAACAGACATAGGGAGTCTTGTCTGACCAAACAACCTGAGACACTATGTCTTTTTATAGCTCACAGATCAATGATGCATAATGTATCTACATGTGTGGTAAGTGGGTGGGCTTCACTGGCATACAGGGTGAGCAACCATGAAAGGTGCAAGTGGCTTTTAATTTCATTTTGAACACACTGTCTTTGCTTCTTACAAAACAGGTGGGTTGATCCTCTTTCTTTCAGGAAATTATGTAAAGAAACCACCTCCTATACAATGGAGATGCAAACCAAACACACTCATGGTTTGCTTCAGTAACATCCTGCAAATGTCTCCTTAGGGACATTTGGAGATGATGAACCAGACAATTTTGACATCGACTGCTTCAGCCAGCTTGAATTTAAGGATTCTTACAGCAGCCTGACCTGCAACTTTACTGAGCCGCCTCCTCACAACACTAACTATACCCTGGCCCTGTGGTAAGTGCTGTCAGTCCTTCCTTTGGTAAGCTTCTGGGAAGCAAAATGCTAAGTGCCAATGAGTCGCGCTGTCATGTGCTGGGAAACAGGAGCGGCAAAGCTAGACATAATTTTGTTTCAGAGTGTTTTACCAGCTTTGAATACTATATTCAGCAAAGAAGAGTTTACTGAAACAGAGCATAACTCCCTAATAAGAAAAAAAATCATCTGGAAGGGTCTGTAAAGGGCATTATAATGTCTCCAGTAGTCCTGAGCTTGCCTCTGTTCCTCTGAAACACCTGTAATTACGGAAGTAGCCCAGCATGAACTGAGATAATTTTTCCTTTAAATTAAATGATATTTAAAAAAAACCAAACTTAGCCTTTGTCAAGTGAAAAGTAAAAATATTTTTGAAGAGGCAGATCCTTTCCACACAAAATTCTTTGGCAAGAAGGCTGATTTTTCCTCTGCAGGAAAAACACCTTTATCTAGATCAAGACAAAAACTAAGTAATTGTCTTCACATACATAGGCATGGAAAAATCACACTAGAATGAGTATACGAAAACTCAACAGCAATGGTAGGTGAGCAGCTGTGGGGTGTTTGGTTGCTGACCAGGCTCAAACTACAACACACATAAACCTCCAATTTAATAATTGCATTTTTTTCTTGGAGAATTCTGGGACTTTTGCTGTTACTCACATCACTTGATTATTGTGCTCAAAGACCACCAGGAAAAACTCAACAGTTATCAAACACATCAGTCATCTCCACTTCTCATCAAGGCCTTGAAACTCTATTCCACCCCTTTCTTAATTGATGAACCTAGCAGAAGAATCTCAGATTTTGTGTCTTTAATATACATCTGCTTTTCCCTTGGCCTGTTTTTACTGAAACTGAAGGTCCTGCAGCAGCCAGCAAAATAAGTGGTTTTTTTTTAAATCTTGCTATTCTAATCACTACTTATTTTTTTTCCACCTCGTTTATTAGAATTTTTCTATTTTCATGGGTTTTATTCTCAATTTTGGCTGAAATTTTATGACAGACCTCAAACATGGGAGTCACACAGTTGGAGGAATGCACGGATATATTTTCATTTCTGAAAGTGTGCCATATGACTTCCTCATGACCTGGCTGACTGTTGACTTTGTATTTGTTACCACTTCAGTCAATAAGAAATTTCTCTTTAATTAGAGTGAACATCCAAACCTATTGCCCTATATTTAAAAGTGGCATCAGTGAGACCATTTTTAAAGATACAAAGGTTTCTAACACGTTGTCCTGGTTTGGGCTGAAATAGAGTTAACATTTATTTTTAGTAACTAGAATAGTGCTGTGTTTTGGATTCAGCATGGAGTTTGGTATGAGAAGAATGCTGATAGCACACCGATGTTTTCAACTGCTGCTGAGATTTCAAAGACTCTCCAACTCCCCATGTCCAGCCTGTGCACAAGTGCACAAGAAACAGGGAGGGAGCATGGCCAGAGCACCTAACCCAAATTGGCTAATTAAATATTCCATATCATGTAACATCATTCTCACTATATAGAAGAGGGTTGGTGGGGAAGGGGCTCTCTCTCTCGCTCTCTCACTTCTGGAATTGAGATTGCAGGATCTTGGCATTTTGGGATTGCTAGCCAGGAAAGGGCTGGGTGTTGGTCAGCGAGTGGTAAGCAATTTCATTGTGCATTGCTCATTTATATTTTCTATTACTGTCATTGTTTCTATTTTATGACCATTATTAAACTGTTTCTATCTCAACATGTGAGTCTCTCTTCATCCCTCCAATTCCCTCCCCCATTCCCAGGTTGAGGGGGCGATGGTAGGTGAGCAGCTGTGGGGTGTTTTGTTGCTGACCAGGCTCAAACTACAACACACATAAACCTCCAATTTAATAACTGCATTTTTTTCTTGGAGAATTCTGGGACTTTTGCTGTTACTCACATCACTTGATTATTGTGCTCAAAGACCACCAGGAAAAACACTACCAATCTTAAACTCCTTATTTGCATGACATTTTTTCTTATTTCACATGGACTCTCACTTCAGTTAATGTGAAATAAGCAACCAGGATTTGTCCCTTACTATGTTATAGTAAGATTGAGAAGAAATTATTGTTGTGTCACTTTGGTCAACAGTACCAAGGAAGATGGCAATTATGTGTGCTTCAATATGGAGAAACAGGAAGATGCCTATTTCCTACAATTCACTGATATACTCTCAAATAAAGACATCTGCATGGATTCTGAGATGAGGAGAAGGGTCTGCAGGAGTCTGGTTGTAACTGATATTGGTAAGATATTTTTAAGATACAGGGATTACTGGGGAAAAAAAAAAAAGTAGCCCAGCACAACACCTACATGTCAATATGAAGGCAGTATAAAATAGTGTCCTAGCAGGGCATATAGCCTGAATTGGGGTGTTGGCAGAGTGTGGTGTTCCCTTTGCTTCAAAGCCAAACACAATTAATCCCTATTCAAAATATGCAGCTGAATTCTGGCTTACTGTAACACTCTGCCCCGACCCAGACATACACTGAGTCAAGCACTTGGGCAAAGCAGATGTTCCTGAGCATGGATGAACTGCCAAGCAGGGACATTTTGTTCATCTCTTACCAGGGATTGTGCAGCTTCAGGACTGACAACCCCAAATCTAGCATGAGCTCGGTAGCACAAGAGCTGCAAGGTTGCAAGATCTCACATTTTCACACCTTGGTTCTTGGTGGAGCCCGTTGTCTGAACGAGGTGCTCAGGCATCCTGCAGTGCAGAAGAGACACTGAGAGACCAAGAATGGATTTTTCAAAGCCACATTGGGGAACTGCCTGAGCCATGAAATATGGAACTCAGTGGAAGAGGGGCTTCTTAGGACTTATCCCTCTTGGGAACTGGTCTCATTCAAGGGCTGCTGAGAAACCTGTGTAGGGCAGGTCTGTTCTGCTGTGGTGCCACATCATTTTGCCTTCCTTTGACAATAGGCACTGTGACATCCCTCTGTTATTAAACATTTCTGCCCTGGAATAACTTTGTAATGATCTTACATTACCTCTCAGTTTATGGGCCATCCTGGACCATCTCAGGAGGTCTCTCCTCTAGAAGCTGTGGGTTCTGCATGGAAGGATTAAGTATTTGGGGGTTGCAGAAGGAGTGGGCATAATTTCTGGTTAATCGCATTTTCCTGAGAGGAGACTGGTGTGGGCTCCCTGTTCCTGTGAGAACTGATGTACTTTACATGGCACATTCAGGAAGCCTCAGTGGCACAGACACAGGTCCATGCAGACCTCAGAGACATCCCTCTCAGGCACAGCTTGGGGAGAGTCCCCAGGGCTGCATTTTGGACTTGATGTACATCCATGAGTGGTCATTTGACACATTGTCCTGCAGACCAGGTCAAGTGTGGATTCACAGCAAGGGAGCCACAGCCCCCTCTGCTATATCTAACACTGTCATACTTCGTCCCTTCCTCTGTCCCACCACCCTGACAGCCACCGGCAGTTGTACCTGTACCCCATTTGTTTCCCAGTGCCCTCCTCCCAGAGCAGTGATGGGTTTTGCCATGGGGTCTCCATCTCAGAGTACTGGTTAGAGGGACTGAATTTTACGTCTTCAGGCAGTAGTATTGCAGGGGTGGGCATGCTCAGGAATTGCTTTCCAAGACTAAATGTCACATTCCTAGGAAGAGCTGTCCTTGCTGGTCATAGTGCTGCTTCAGGACCAAGGTGTCAGGCTGAGCTGGGGCTCAGCATGAGGCAGGTCCAGCTTAAGCCAGCCCTCACTCAAGATAGGTCACCCTGCAGGGAGTGTAGCTTGAAGTGGACATTTTTTTACTTTTCAAAACCTGTTTATTTTGTAGTAACATTACTCTACTTCTGTTACAACCTAGTTTGTTATCATTTGCAGTTAAGCCTGAAGTACCATTTGATATAAACATCACATACCAAAAGGAGGCAAATGAATATCTTATTCATTATAGTACACCACACTCATGGAAGAAATACTTAAAGGACAAATTAATACACCAAATAGCCTATCAGCAGGAAGAAGGTACTTGGAAGGTAAGTGATGATATATTGTTGAGTTTACACTAACTTCTGACATTAAATGTTATCAGAAAAACCAGTATCATATAAAAATCTTCAAATCTGAATTTCTAAAATTCACCAGATGAAAACTTGGAAAGGTGTTGTTTCATTTAAGGTGAAAAATTAATTTGGTAAGAGATAAATCCCCTTGCATTCTAGCTGGTCCTCAGAGATTAGAGGGGCTAAGGGTGGCTGGACTTAACCTCTTAATAGCTATGCCAATTATTGCCATGACTATAGGCCTGACACAAGATGCACGAACAGACCATGTGCTGTAGGTCCACTTGCATTCAAGAGAAGCAGTGAGGTTCATGAATAGTGCAGTTTATTCTTATGCAGCATCTACAGATTCTTTGGGATTGCCTATGATAAACGCACAAATTGCAGGCTGGCTATATAGCACTACACACAAAAACTGTTGCAATCACACACTTAATTCCCAGGTAATCACTCAGCATAACTGAGGGCATAAATCTTACCAAAAGGCATCCCTTCTTGCAGCAGGTGAGGAGCAAAAACCTGTTGATCTGTCTCTCCGGTTTGGTGTCGGATTATTGTCCCTCTGAGTTAGATACAGACCCAGGGTAGTATTTATCTAATGTGCATGTGTGAGTGGGTGTGACTGTGGTCAATACATTTATTCTTGAGTAGTGATACAGCACTTTCCTTGGTGCAATGTGCACACAGTTGTGGGAAAACAGGCAGTTTTGTGGGAAAAGCAGAAGCACAGGAGGTAGTATCTGCAGAGTTGTGCAAAACATTCTTTGAGATAAGGGGAAGAGCAGGAGATAAATCTGTATAGTTGTGTCAAATATTCCTTGAGAAAAGTGGAAGAACAGAACCACGTAACCTCCACCATGCTTTGCATTCCTCCTTGGTGCTATGACAACAGAAATCACTGGATTTTCACCCTGTCCTGTGTTTGTTCTGGGCACCGTGTATCAAGGAAATGTGTATTTTGCAGGGTTTTTTTTTCCCACAGTTCCAACAGGTGTAATATTTGGCATTTGGAAATTTCATCAGTTGAAACAATTCCAGAATGACAGTACCCATGTCCATTAGACACTTCCCTGGGCTAACAAAGTTGCGTTCATTTGAGCTTTGCAGTGGGAAGAAAAGACATAATGTAATGAACCATCCTAAGTGTCTTGTTCCTTGCTAAGATGGCTTTCTCTTTGCTATGGTGGTTTTGCTCTTATTTTCTGTGCTCATCAGTCAGTAATTCATTCAAGTCCTTTCCTAATTTAGCAACTGTTTCTTCATGTCCCTTTTTCACTGAGCCTCTCCCAGCTTTGTGTGTAACCCCGCAGCTTTTCTTCCCTTGGACCGTGTTTCAGGTTGTAGCTGCCCATGAACTGCATCTGTTTTGGGCTGCCCAGCTGCTGGGACCTCTGTGTCCCCTGTCACAAGATCGTCCATGCAAGCTCTAGTCCAGATGGGGGTGTTTGAAAGTGTGGACTATACTTGCTTTTTACAGAGGCAACACAGGAGAACTGTAACTAGAGAAATAAAAGGATTTAGACAACCAAATACACTGAAATGAAGAGCACCAGAGGTGCACTGTGGGATTGCAGCTTATTTCCTGTGACTGCTCTTTCAGAAGTTGCCTTTTTATGCTGCACAAATGTATTGTCTCCACTCTCTCTTCTGAGCCTTCCCAAGGAAATATATATTTCCCACTGTACTGTTGGCAGTAGCAAAGCACAGTTAATACTTCCAGCTGTTTTCCAGAGCTTTCACCCACCATTAGTCTCTCTTCTCAATACTGTCTGGACTACCTTGCTATTAAACTAGACTGATGCTGTGATGTCCACCTGTATAATAACCAAAGACATGGAGCAAACAGCACAGTACTGCAGGGATGCACCTGGTCTTGAGTATTTTGCTGAAACTCAAAGACACTTTTCCTGTCTTCTAGAAAAATAATTGGATTTTTTTTGTATGTTTAGACAATAGAGTCGCCATACCTTCAGGTAAAATTATTGGGGAAAAACCTCGAAAATGATGCATCGTATGAGGTGAAAGTACGTTCGCAGCCCAGTGGAGATTATTTCAAGGGCATGTGGAGCGAATGGAGCACTTCCAAGAGCTTCAGGACTGCAAGGGATCAGCACTCCACAGAGAGCTGTAAGGGCAGAAATCACTTTGGTTCACCTGGAAGAGATCAGAGCTAGGGGTCCTTGGCTCCCTGGCCAGCCCTGGCAGCAGCAGTGGTGAGAGCAGGGGGAGGGAAAACCCCATGGCCACAGCAGCATCAGCCCTCACAGGCACTGGGTACCCCAGAGATGACCCAGAAAACAAGCTGCATCACTCTGGTCTGGGGCTGACTCTCCATGTGAAATTAAATCTCACTCTTGGGCGATAAGATCAGATGACGTGATGCTGTAAAGCATGAGGTGGGTTGCAAAGGGAGGTGAAGGCTGACTGCATCCTACTTGCTGCCTGCTGGCACGCAGGGAGAAGGAACAGCTTGCACTGAGTGTTTTAGGTAAGGCACACAGAGTGGTGAAACATGATGCATTTCAGTGCTTTGTATCTGTGTGCGAACATGTCACTTTAATCACAAACACAATAAGGGATGGAATCTCATTGCATGTGTAAATATGAATAATCCTTCTGGTCTTTGGGGCCCCTTCAGTCCCCAGGGCACCTCAGCATTACATGTGTTCAGAGTCACTTCAGTGCTGCTTTAAGGACGCAGCAAGCGGTGACTTCAATGTGCTGAAGGTGATAGCAGACTCCAAGCTGCTTTAATCCAACCTGGGAACCCAACTTGGAGCTTGGCCAAACACTGGTGCTCTGGCAGCCTACCACTTTCCTTCTTCAACGAGGCAGGAGAAATGCACCACTGCACCAGTCCAATAATAGTCAAGTGCAATGCTTGTCTGAAGAGACATTACATTTATGATGGCTTAACAGTGAGACATTTACATGCATTGGCTGATGTCCTCTGTTTTTTTTTTTTTTAGATAGCAGAGTGGTTGTGGTTATACTCTCCATCCTGGGATTCATGGTGTCCATTGTCATGATTGTCCTGGTTGTAACTTTTTGGGAAAACAGGTAATCTAAGTCTCTTTGTATCAGAAAGTGTTGGAAGCCAATCCTGTTCTGACAGTCTTATTGCTTTCCCTGTTATATTTGTGAATTATTCTGCTTCCATCTCTAGACCTCTATATCAAGCCAAAGGCAAAGAGTAGAAGTAAGGAGTACAAGAGAAGGTGTTGACAGGATGAAGATCACCTGCCACTTTGAGCAGACCTCAGTCTTGGGCTTGAAACACTGGGACCTTTGGGGAGCTGAAGTCACCATGAAACACAGAGTTGGTGCCTCACTGGAGGCAAATTTGGCTCAAAAGTTTCAAGCAAGATCCAGAAATGAAAGTGACCTGCAGGTTTTAGTGAAGTCCCAAGAGGTGTGGAAATGGTACACCTGGGAGGTTGCCTCTTTCCCTTTCATAGGCTGAGTCAGCAGAGTGTTTGCTCTGCTGTGCTTTCAGAAGCAGCAGGGCAGAGTTCTCTGCAACAAGGGCTTGATGGTGTCAGCCACCAGCTCAGCTGGGTGCACATCCAGACAGCCATGTGGTGAAACCAGGCTCTACATCTCCCACCAACACAGTCATGGCAGAAGTGGGACTGGAGATACATTCATTACACAGACAGTCCTTTGACTGTCTTGTGGTTTTTTTTCATATATTGACTACACAGCAGAAGATAGATAGCTGTAAATATATTTTTGAATATGTGGCTATATGTGCTTAAATAGAATAGAGGGTTGACAACTTTAAGAAAATAGACACATATGTTGATAATCTGATGAAACCACTATCTATCTGAAGTGAAAAAGTCCCACGTTTAAGCATAGGAGATGAACCCCTCACAAGGCAGAAAGCCCAGGGCTGTTTTGTGGCATTCAGAGCAGCACATCCATGACATCCAGCTCTACTGATATCCACAGATTTGTCTGCAGGTGAGGTGCTTTTTGGGGAAAAAATTTAGGCTGTGCTAATTCCTGAATTACACATGGGGATTACCTAGGAATGTGCTAGTTGGCCTCAGTCAAACCATGCCAAGAACAATTTTAATAATTAATCATTTTAGACACTAGAGTTATCTGGCATGGAATGCTTCCTTGTGCTGTTTTATTTGCAAGTGTAGATGTGGCCTGAGGTTTCTAGCTATTTATGCGGTTGTTGTGCACCTGTAGTTCTCTAACTTTGTAGTTCTACTTATGTAAAACTGTAGAAAAAAGCAGACTTTTAAATGGTGAGACTTTTTGAAGCCAGAGATTTCCCTTTTAAAAAGAGGGATTTATACATGTGTGTATATACACCCACATATACAGACACATATATAAAATGAAATACATAATCATAAACATCTATACCTATATCACTGCAACATTGAATGTCACTTGAGCAATATTCTCTAGATGCATCATAGCTGAGGATTTTTAGCAGCATAACACAAGAACTTCATTAATCAAAGCAGTAAAAATTACACCAGTCGGACAAGGCTGTAATACAGATATCCAAAGCACAGATAGCTGGCCAGGGAGTAGGACAATATGTAGTTTTTAACTTATGTGAACATGCAGAAGCAAATATCAGCAAATTTGCACTTTAACCACAGCATCTTTTTTCACTTGCGGAAATTGGTTTTGCCATGCAAAATTCTGTCAACACAGCTAGATGCACATTATCTCTTCACCAGCACAGTTTGCTGTTTTTCCAGCACTTGGTGAAGTATCTTCCTTCAACTATGAAAATTTATGCACTCAAAAGAACAATGACTATTCAGTGGCCTTTATAACTACTCTTCTCCTGTCTTTGTTTTATTATGAGACTTCTCTGTCATTATTCTGGGTAATGCAAGCCAGTCCTAAGGCTTTGTGCCAATTAGTACAAAGGACACAATATGAACCTCTGATATCTCAACATCTCTCTCTTTTGCTGCTGTTGAACACCTTTTTGTCTACTGTTGCTGTTTCAGGATCAAGCCTGCAGTGTGGCCAAACCTTCCTGATCATAAAAAAACACTGGAACAACTGTGCAAGAAGCCAAAAACTGTATGTACTTCTACTGTTGTTTTCACCTGCATATAGATTATTTGGAACAAAACACTCATGACAGACAGTACATGGATTTGCTGCACGAACTGGGACATCTTTCAGAAATTTCTACATTTAGTGAAGAGAGCTCACATTTACACAGGCAGATGCTAGTCAAGCGTATGGAAATAACAGACAATTCAGCTAATGCCTGAGCTTTGACTTGTGTACAGTAACTACAGAGGGGTGGAGAACTTGATATATGGAGAAAGGTTGACAGAACTGAGTTTGTTAATAGCAAAGAGGAAGCTTGGGCTGGGGACTACTAATCACAACCTTGCAATAACTAAAGTGTAGGTAGAGTGATGGTGGAGGTGCTCTGGCACAAGGCTGTATGGTGACAGGAACAGAGGCAGAAGGCACATGCTGCTTCAGGGAAAACTTCATCTGGGTATAAGAAAAAAGTCTTTCTCCATGAGAACAATTAAACATCGCGTAAGCTGCCCAGAGAAGAGGTAGGTTCTCCTTTGCTGGAAATGTTCAAGGCAGGCTTGATAGGTCTCTGGATAACCCAATCCATATCCTGCTTCTGGCAGAAGGATGAACCAGCTGGTCTCCAGAGGTCCTTTCTAACCAAGATGCTTCAGAGATTCTATGAAACTGTGTTTGTGGGGCTGGATGGGGGCCCTTTCCAAACATCCCTGGTAATGCCTGTGTACCCTTACACGGCCAGCAGAATTGCTCATACACAATTCAGTACATTAAATGCTCTGCCAGATAAAGGCCAGATGGACAAATGTTACAAACTGTAAGGTGTGGGATTAACCTGTTTTTTCACTAAGAAACTGATCAGTGCTGTTGTCTCCAGTTTTTACGCTATTAGCATGTTCTTAATATAATAAGAGGTCTAAAATGACTCTCCCACTCCTCTGTGCTTCCCAGTGCAGAGATTCCTAGTGTGTTTCAGGAAGTCATGGCAAACTTTTACTTTACTCACCACTAAATTAGGAGGGTAAAACTGAAAGGAACTGCCTGCGTTGGCACACTCATTCCCAAGAAATAGCAGGCAGGCAGTAGATGTGTGGCTTGGGAAAAATCTCTGAAACACCAGTTCCCATTACATTATGTAGCACATAGAATGGTCTCCAGTGACACCGCCTGCAGGAGGCCACTGGATAGATTCAGATTAATATGGAAAAACATTTTAAGCCACGTGATAGTTTATTCTCTGATAACCAATCGTTCAGCCTGCTCAGGGTTACTTTCAGAGTTAAAGAAATAATAAATACCCTTCAAATGACTTATCAAAGTACCTTTTCTCTTAAGTTAATACCCACTGTTAACTGACCATGCTGTTCCCTTTGCCATGCAGAATTTTGATATAAGCTTTAACCCAGAGAGTTTTGGTTACGTTCATATCCATAAAGTGGATGGCATTCGAGCAAAAGCTGAAATGGAAAATTTTCTGCAGCCGTCAATTACTCCGGAGACAAACCTTCCAGAAAAATTTAGGAGCAGATCAGACCTGAAGATGATCCCTGCAAAGACAGATGAAAGCAGCTTAAACCTGTCTATGACTTACGGAGGAATCTGGCCGGCTGAAGCAGTGCACGGATTCCTGGGCACCAGCCAGTTTGCAATCACAGAAGGAAACTGCAGCTCCAGCACATACGAGGTGTGCCACAGCAAGGGCGTCCCCCTGTGCGGTGATGGCTTCAACCCTTCCTCCACTCCTCCCCCAGATCCCTCTGGTCAGCCTGGACCAGAGCCCCTAAATGGTGACACCATATGCCAGATGCTGCCTCCCAGTGAAATGAGGTCACCAAACAATGAGGAAGCCTATGTCACAATGTCTAGCTTCTACAAAACTCAGTAAATCTTACAGGAATGACAACATGGCATTTTCTCTCTAGCACAAGCAGGACACTGGAGCTTTCTATTTTGTTTTCCTGCATCCTGAGTTCCCACCTCCGCAACACACCCTGTTTGCAGTGCAATGCTATACCTGCAAGGAAGTGGATTCTCCCACATTTCAATGATAAGAGGGCTAACCTTAGCTCTCAGTATGCTGGTAGAAATCTCCACTGCAGAAGAAATTAAATGTAATTCAACCTGACTTTAATCTTCAGATCTGATTAATCCAGAACAATGACACTGCAGTCCTAGCTAAGGATCAAAATATGTCTCATAAAAGTTAATGAACTCTTCTGTTAATCTCTTGGTTGCAGAGTTAAGCTCTTTTTAATGCTCAAGCAAGAAATACAACAACAAATTCAAGTTAAATAGAATCCAATATGTTTCAAACAGCACTAGATCAAGAGTAACTCCTCTGCAGCCAGTGGAAGTCCACAAGTTTGCAAAATGACAGTAAATGAGAGTTGCTATCAAGCATTAGTCACATGGGGATTCAGGAACCTGGTCACTGCAAAGGGAGTTTGCTGACCCTTCAGGAAAAAGGGTGCCATGGACTCACTTTAGGAAGATGTTTCCTCCGACTAATTTTTTTTTTTTTTTTTTTTTTTTTAAGAGAGAGACAGAGATTGAAACAAAGGAAAACTCTACATGCCACTTCTTTTCGCTATTGGTAAAGATCTGCCCCAGAGCCAATTTTAGGATCCACAGGTATTTCTGCAAGTGCTGTTGTTAAAGATCTTCAATATTTCATGCACTAGCAATGTTTAGCTAGGAAAACAAAGCAAAATCAATGAAAAGCAAAGTCCCATCTCTTCTTATAAACTCAATTGTGGCTGTAAAAATGCAAGATGCTGTCTTTCTCTGCAGCTCTTGTGCAAGCATTAGTGAAGCATGTAAGTACTTTCCAGGACAGAAGGGTTGAGCAGATCATGTTTGTTTACTAGCATTATTCCCAATGGCTGTGGCTTCATAAGAATATTTTGAATTTGGCCAGACAATGTTCTCATACAACATCTGACCTAGGAAAATGGATGGAGCATCATGGATCCTGTCAGTGATCAGAGAGCTCTATCTTTTTAGAAGTACCTTGCAAATTGCCTTTTACTTTATGATGGAGGAAGACATCCTGTCCCTTCCCACTCACCTTTCTCTGGACTCTGAGCTCAGTTCTAATGGGTTCCCCACATGCTGTCACACAGAGATGGCTGAGCCGCTTCTCTGGGATGCTGCGAATTATGGAGCACACACTTGGGGATAAAGCTGCTGCATCCACGTGGCTGCACGGCAGCTGAGCAGTGTGGCCATGGGAAATCCAAGCTGCTTTGCTGTGCTCTGGGATTGGGGTTCACCTCACCGTGCAGCTTCAGTTCCTCTAGCTGCTTGGAATTCTCCTTTACTGAAATGTATTAAGAGTCTATTCCCAGAGTCTAAGGGTAAAAAGAGTCCTCCTTCATCCTCAGAGCTGCTTAAATTTGTTCTGACTGGTAATAATCACTGAGATGTTTCTATATTTGCTGTAGCCTGCTGGAGAAAAACACAATCCCAAGACAGGACTCCACTTTCTCCACCTCTACCTGACAGCAGAGAAAGCTTCAAATGGGACAACTTTATAATGCCTGCATGCAAAGGGGCCAAGGATTTGGCTCAAGGCATTCCAGTGACATTTTCCAAAATGGTTTCTATTGCTGTTTCTTGCCAACTGAAACATTGACTAATGCAATAGAAGAAGATGAAAGCCCTGGATGCTCATTTGCTTTATAATGCTTTTATTTCTTTTTAAAAAGAGCTGCCAGTAGTGCTCATACTGTGCTGACTTGCACAGTGTGATTGTAGATGCAGACAGATTGTGCTGGGAAGAGGTCCTCTTCCAGTAACACAGTGGCAAAAAACAGGGCATAGAGGAAGAAGCAAAAGTACATCAGAAAAATCCTGTACAGTATGTGCTATGCTTGTTTCAGACTCATACACACATTTTTAACAATTAAAAGTGACATCACAAATGTCCATTTGCACAGTTTAAACAGTAAGGTACCCATGTGTAATAGTCTCTGTTTGTCCAGAAGGTGTACGGCTCTTTAATATGGGAAAAGTAGTAGAAGCCTGATGTTTGCTCTGTAATACAGGAAAAGTAGCAGAAACTTGATGTTTATTTACTTTAATCACTCTGAAATAGTTATATTTTTCTTACCTAGCATTCATAATTTTGCATAGCTGCTAATGTTTAAACATTCATTCTATTTCTTATGTCTTATTATCTTATTTAATTAGATAACATGTAACCTTAATTTTATAATGATATTACTTTATTAAAAGGACATGGCTATTTGCATGACCTATTTATGCTGCTCCACTTCAGTCTTATAATATACATCTATTAGGACAGGACTTACTCAGCCCTCCCTGAAATCAGGATGACTCCATGGGCGTTACCTAGCTTCAGGCAGGATAAATCCCAAGTAAGTTTGGACAGCTCAGGGACCTGCAAACACTGTAGGGTAACGGCAATCCTCACCCTCCCTTCATCACCACCACCCTGAGAGCCAGGGAAGCCTCTGAAACTCCAGTCTATGTTTTGGACTGCTAATGCTTTTGTTCATCCTGACTCTGACTGCAATCCAGCTCTTGTTACCCAGAAAACAGAGAGGTAACAGCTCTGGGAATCAGGTCGATAAAGCCGATCTCCTGCCATGATTGGCTCATTACAGCAGTGTTCAGTCAAGTCCCTTCGGGCTGAAATTTCACAAGCAGTGAACTCTTCCAAGATAACTCTGGCAATTAAGTTATTCTGAAACCTGCAGAAGCTAGCAGTCTCCTTCATCTTTGACAATCTGGCATGAACTGTGGGAGCTAAATCTTTTGGAAAAATTGGTCCCTGACTATTTTTCAGGTGCTGAGTACCAATATTTGATCAGTCTTAATATCAGGATCATTGAATATCATTTGCGATTTTATAGCCATCAATATAAATTTGATAGGTGTATACAGATACAAAAACTTTCAGCTTGCTTTGGGAAAAACAGAAATCCAAATATGCACTGAGGCAAGAAACACCACAAGCACTTTGGGTCCATGGCCAGCTTTTAGACATGTAGCACATATATGAAAACACAGCCATGGCTATGTCTTGACACTTCACCAGGTCATGAGTGAGTATCTCCCTTGTTCTAGAAGTCAGAGATTCCCCCAGAGTTGTTCACAAATTCCCATCTGACTCAGCATTCACACAGGAGTAAAGCTCAGCTTTCACATACTCCATGCACCTTCCTCACTTCAGCATAACATTCCTCCTCCACACTTTCTGCCTCCTGTGCTCCTACTCAGTTGCACACACAAAATGAGCTTGGTGATCCCGGTTTCTATGCAGCTGCTTTATGACACCATGGCTGGAGCTGCCTGATCCTCTCTCCGCATGTACCTGTTGGGATCCACCAGCTCTTCTGCACTTGTGGTACAACACAGCTGGTCTCCTGTCATCATTTCTCCCCTCATCTATGCACAGCTCATTTGCACTACACAAACGTCTCCTAGCAGCACACAAACTCCATGAAATAAAATAAGTCTTTTGTCAGTTATAACACTGACTCACAGTCAAATTTTAATGATGCTGAAAAAAGTTAATTACCTCCCAAGGCGATACTTGTCCCCTGCTGAATTTGTTTGTTTATCAAACCTCCTCCTCTTGTTCATGTTCATTAGACAGACTGATAAAACACAAAAAAATGCTATGTGTGTCAGTGAGGTGGTAGAAGACCAGCTAAGCATGGAGAGTCTGGGGAACTGCTTCTGCCAAGGAGAAGAGATGGTTAAATGTATGTGCTGTGCAGTGCAGTCTGGGCCATGAAATAAATGGTGAAGGGATGGCCTGGCCACCACTGCTGCAGGGATAGGTGGCTGAATTTGGGGCAGTTTTAGGCAGGCACAAGCTGACTGTGAAGCCACCTCTGCCAGCAGCAAAGGACCTGGTGAGGCTGGCAGGGTATTTCTACAGGATGGGAGTTCAACCCCTTCTAGGCTTCTTACTAAAACTGTTTGTTGACTTGAAGGCCTGTATTTGTACAGCAGTACTGCAGTGTTCCTGGGAGGCACAGCAGCAGGTTTTTAGTTCATGTGCTTTTGGCTCAAGCTAGTTATTTCTTTGATTGTGGGTTTCTGAAACTATCCCTTAAAACCAGCTAAAATGTAACATAAAATATAAACAACTCTATGAAGAATTATTTTAGGGTCAAACGGTTCCTTATTACTGTGATTACGAAGCTCCCAAATTAGCACTTCCGTGTGTAACACGACATTGGCAAGACAAATCTACACACAAAAGACACACAAGGAAACAACTGGTGATGCCGGGAAACGCAATTGCTAATTCGTGCCGACGATCCCATCCGTCGGCTCACTCGGCAGCTTCGGAATTCAGTCAGGCTGGCCATTTGGCTATTCCCTGGCTTTTAAGCGCCACCTGTTGAAACGTGAGGCCACATGTCGGGGGCCAGCACTGGGACACTTGATGGTGTCGTGTAATCATGCAGCTCTGAAAAAGGTGCACAGATGGGAACTGGGGAAAAAAAATCACACCCGCAGCAAACTAAACAGTGTTTCACTTCTCTATAGTCTCTAGTCCCAAAGATATTGAGGCAAATGAAAGAAAATGTCAGAGTTTCCAGGATTTCTTCATCATTAAAATGAAGTAGGCGTCACTGTCCACAGAAGCACTAACTCCAGAGTAGTAGTTCAGAAATTCATCTTTTGTAACCTAAGAACAAGAAAACCAGTGTTTACAGTGTGTGATGGCTATATGCTGTGGCCCAAAGCAAGATATTTATGTAACACATCCCCATATTTTTCAAATAATTCTTTTGCATCTTCCACAGAAGTCTGATTTTTAGGTCAGACTGTCCTAATGTGACGTTGTGATGTGGTGTTGTAGCAAGCTCTCACACAGCATATGGTCCAATGACACTGAGGTCAATGGACTGAGCTTCTTGCACTAGGAGACAGAGTTGTTGCTATGTTCTTGAAAAATGAATATAAGAAAAATTATTCTGGTTATTGGTAAGTATTGACTGCATAACTTAGATGTCACAATTAAATTAGATTAGTTCAACATTAGCACCATCACCAAATGAATGTAAAAAGCATTAAAGGTTAATCAAGCAAAAAAAAAAAAAGAGAAACAGAGCTGAAATGCATTGGTAGAAATGTCTAAAGGAATAAATCTGTGCAACAAAGTCAGAGCTTCTCTAAAGCAATCTGCTTTATTTTTCCAGAAAATGTATATAAGCTAAAAAAAAAAAAAAAAAAATAAAAAATCAGTACATTTTGAATGCTAAAGTATCAGCTGAAAGTAAAAAAAAAAAATACATTGCAGCTTTTGGCAAGAAATATCACATTTTCAGTGCAAAAATAAAAGATTTAGCTCTGGAAAATAAACACTTTTCACATTTTACCACAATATCTACTTTTCCACAGAAACCCAGGCTTGAGTCAACTTTCACAAAACATTGCACTTCCTTTCTTTCTCATTTTTCCTACTTGCCAAGACAGTCAACAAGGTCTGGATCCCGCCTCCATCCTTCAGCTGCAGATCCCATTCAGACCAACAGCAACGTTGTAAGCTGGGAGGAAGCCTGGGTCCAGGTTTCTGCAGAGACGGGGCTGCTGTACCTGGGGTCGGCAGCAAACCAGTGAGCTAAAGCTTTTGCATCCTCTCTTGCTCCTGCCTCCTGCAGCCTCTATTGGCATGAGAGCTGAAGAGGTGCTACAGCCAAAACCAATGCTCACTTTGAAACCATGGAGGCTTCATACTCTGCTGGAGCAAACCAGTATGGCCGGGTGGGCTGCTTCAAATACCGAGGCTGCTCTCAGCCGCCTGAGAACTTGGCATTAAGTACAACCCACTACGAACCTGCTGTCTGCTCACGCCTTCCTCCTGAGCTGGATCTGAGAAATGATTTGTACAGAAACAGGGCAGGTTATAATCATAGCAAAAGTCATAGAAAGTGGGCAGCTGCCAACGGTGACAGGTTGCTCTTGGCGTTATCTGTTTTACCAGGGAAAGCTGAGCATGCTGCTGCTGCTGCTTCTGGTGTGGAGGACAGGAGCTGGAAGGCAAAAATAACTGAAATCCCAGGCGTTTTTGTTCTGCCAACTGCTGACAGCGGAGGCCAGTAGCCCAGCTCTGGCATGGCAAAGCTCTGCTCTGCCCACGCAGCTGCAGAGGTTTGAGACAGTACCGTGTAAAAGATGTTACATAAAGACAAATCAGCTTTCATACAGCAATGTGTGCAGGTGGTTTCATCTGCAAAAACCTCAGCTGCTTCTATCTGCCTCTGCCAAGACATCTTTGTGCCAGGAGACCAGAAAAAATGAATCAGATCAGTGAATATACCCTGTGGTCTAATTTCAAGAATACATTACAGTGAGTGGGGCTTGCATTAAAACTCAGTTGCTTGAACCAGAAATGCATGCTGTGGGAGAGAACATGAGCCAAACAACAGTTCTGCACCATATCAAGCCAAAAATTTCCCCTCCAGGACAAAAACATGAGCCAGAAAAGCACACAAGGGGCAAAATCCAAATGCAATAAAGGATGCTGAAGGAGTGCTGCCTTTCCCCATGGAACACACCAGAGGGAGGGCCTCTCCCCTGCCTCTCCGCCCCCATGCCTTGTGCTCTTTTGGGGAGGTTGGGGGGTCACAGGGGTGCTCTGATGGCTCAGGTAGAGGTTGGAGCTGAGTTTTGGGGAGGTATAAGGGAGTTTTCTCCCTCTATGAGGGACCAGAGTGCTCTGCCAGCGTTTTTTGGAGCATGCTCCTTGTGCTGGCTGATGGGGAGGGCAGAGCTCAGCCCTGACAAGTTGCTGTGCCACAGGGTAAGCTGGAGCCCAAGGTGCAGGCAAAACCTTTGCATCTGGTATTGGCCCACAGCCCTGCAGACTCAGATGTTCCTATGGTTTGTGCTATCCTGCTTAGTGTCTGTTGCATGATCAGAAAGAAGAAATAGTGCTTTGAACATGAAGCACCGACCAAGATCTGAGAATCTCGATGCTAGCGCCAGATATAATCGCGTGCATTGCCACCTATCTCCCCGTATCTGCTATGTGTGCTGTGCAACCACAGACTGGGAGGACAGCCTACTTCACCATCTATCTCCAGCATCTGCTGGGTCTGTAACCAGCACACAGCAGCCTGCAGCTGAACGTGGGCACTTGAGCTTTAGTTTTGGCTCTCCCTGATTGCAGCGCAGCAGCCTCAGCAGACAGGGACAGTGAAGAGCTAAAGGGTGACTCTGGGCACCCACTGTTAGTCCCAATATTCCTTCATGTCTGGTTCAGATCCCTTCCACTTGCCTTTAACCTACGCAAAGCACTTCCACTAAACCTCCGGGATGTTCACCCAGTGTGTCACTATGGCTGCATGCCTCCTAGTAGAGATTTTCCTACCTTAGCCATCAATGCAATGCCTATGTTTGTTCCATGAATTTGCATACATATTAATCAAATGACATTTCTTACAACAGATTCCAGTTTGTGTTCTATGGCATCTGACTACAAGTGCAAAATCATGTTATTCATTCCCAGATTATTTCTTTGTCGTGAATGCCCTATACTTTTTCTGCAGTTACCAGTTTTCACTCAGATTGCTCCAGGAGCAACTCTGCTCCCACGGAAGTGAAAAGAAACTTTGACACTGGCTTTGAAAGAATCTGAAACCAGCCTTTGGAAACATGTTCCCTACAAATTTTGAAATGAGTACATTGTGAAAAATGTCCTCCTGATGCTGAGAAATGTATCCAGCAAGCAATGAGGTCCACATGCAGACAGACCCAAGGAGCTGACCCAGGGCAAAAGGTTTTAAACTCTCCCAACTCACGTCCCTACAGCTCATGTCCCTAAGGTCCCCACACAAAACTCTGTTAGTCAAGCTCAGTGCAGCAATCTCACCCTGGAGCACTGTGAGCTTTCCCCAGCCATCACAGGCTCTGGCTAAGGATCCCAGCAGTTGGTGACAAAACTTCTACTCGTTTTAAAAAAGCATGGTTGCTTCCATTACCACTCCTCCCTTCTGAAAAGGTATATTGCAGCTGGGATTAAATAAAATTTGAAAATTTTAGCACTGAAAATACAAACTGGTTACAGTTGTTCAGATTAAAACTTCCGCTACACTTGATTAAATGTCAACACAACAGATCACAGTGGAAGACATGAGATAGTGTGTCAGAAGGAAATAGTTTTTTCGTTTGGTGATTCCCACAGTCCATTCACATTAATTTCTCTTTTTTTGAAACACAGAAGACAGATAACATGACATCCTGTGTGGAGCCAATTAATAAATGAGAAATAAATGGATTCTACTTGAGCTGCCAGGACATGTACAGCCTCTATTTGATAGTAAATTTGTTTTTCATATAAGGTATGTTGACACTGCAGTAGCATTGCAGTAAGGAAAGACTCCTCTTATGTTAGATGGCAATCATAAAGAGACTCTTTCCAGCAGTTTCCAGTGTCAGACAGTATGCAAGTTTCTGGAGGTTTACGGATCGAATTAAATAATTGAGTATGCACAGCCTCTAAGAAGGAATTATAAGCAGCTATTGCTCATACTGAGATCATGGCTGGACAAAACGAAAGCAGAGTTTGCACAGGACCAGAGCAGCAAGCACTCAGGACTTCAGTATTTGAACTGTTATCAGCCCAGTCTAAGAGCTGAGACTTCATCAGTCAAATCCTTTTGAAAGCCCAGTCTATAACCCTATGGTGCTTTTAGCTGGTGACAGCCTGAAATGGAGCAAATGTTGCCATACACAAGCCATTTACTCTTTGCTACAGCAGCAGCATCTCAGTCTGGGAAAGCAGCACAATAATGTGAGAAGCAGAAAGAAGATGACAAAAGGCAAAGGAATCAAAGCAGGAATAATTCAACATTCTTTTTTTTTTTTTTTTTTTTTTGATAGTTTCCTTTGTGCACCATTTCCCCACTCTCTGTATGGGGAAATGACAGAAGATCTCAGAACTGAGACAGTCTCATTGGTGTGACCAGGATGGCAGGTCCCCATCCTTTTTTCACCATCAGACACAGAAGATGACAAGACAAGAAAGTTACAAGTTCCTGAGTTCCCAGAAAGTTCCCTGAAGTCATAGATTAGTCATAAAGCAATATAAATACAAAAAATAGTAAGCAGCTTTTGATGTAGGTATGTAAAGACAACAGCTACCAAACCAGTAAATGTTCCATGAACAGTGAGAAGAAAATACTGTAACATACATATGCCCTTTAAAGAAATATAGTAGTGAGATGATCTCACAGTACAAAAAGAAAGAAATCAAATGGGGAAAAAAAAGCTATAAGCAGGCCTCCAGAGGTTTGAAACAAGGCATGCACAGGAAAGATGCCTGTATGCTGAGTTGTAAACTGGGGAGAACACAGGGATTTAAAGAGCATTTTGCATTTATCCTGGTCTGTGTCTCCCCTTCTTGATTTGTTTCTCCCTCCAGCCTCCTGGCACTGGGAACTCACACGATCCTAGCAGTGAGACTAGCAGTTGCTCCATCCCACAAGTGAGAGTCAAGAAACCAAGAGATGCTGCAATGCTGCAGGCAAGAGGGCTGTGTGACCCTCATGGGCTTCATCACATGTGTAATAGTCTTCCCCAGACCACCACCCTTCCAGAATATTTTGATTTCCTCCTCTTGCTTCCTCTGTCAAAGAGCTGTGTCTAACACTGGAAGGGATACAGTCAGGAGCCAGAGGGACCTAATGTGGTTGTCTGAGAAGAAAGGAGCAGCTCATCTCAGAAAAGAAAAGATGTGTCAGGAATGCAGGGAGAATAGGGACAGATCTGCAGAGTGGATGGATGCCAGATCTGCTGTCTGATTATGCTCCGATCCCCTGAGGCTGAGTCTACTGAAGCATCTGGGAATTATTTCTGCAGATTGTCTGTAATTGGCAGAGTTACTGGAAGCTGTTATTATGGAAAATGAGTGTGTTGTTGTGCATACACTTAATCACGGGAACCTACAAAAGGTGGAACTAAAGTCTTGCTCCTTTAATCATATGATCAGAGTTTCCAAGCATTCTTCATCATGATGATAAAATAGACATCTGTGTCTATTGAAGCGCTGACTCCTGCATAGTAGTTCATGAATTCTTCTGTTGTGACCTGAGACAGAGGATTTAAAACAGGAAAATGAACCTTCATTTTTTACTTCATTTTTTTTTTTTTAATGCTGTAAGTTAAAACCACACATTGAGAAGAATTCTACATGAAACTTAACACCTGTTATTTCATGTTGTTGCTAGTGAAAAGGAATCCAGCTGGAAGAATTAAGACACTGAAAAATTGCATCAGTCCACTTCTTTGTTATGAATAAGAGCTCCTGTCCTCCAGGAATACTTGGATGTAAATGAAACATGCTGATTTAAACTAACCTTACTAGGAACAGAAGTTAAATACAGTGCTGCCCAGGAATACAAACACTTTAATGCATTTTTTCCAGGGATGCTATAATCTCATTCTTTGCATTGTCATTAATAAAAATGGATGTGGTTTCTGGTATAACCCAGAGACATCTAGGATCTTTTTTTCAATTAATTAAAGAGAAAATACCACTGCCCTAAACAAGTCTCGCTTAAAGAAGCAAACATTCTTTGAAATACCTAAGAGTTTCGGGTATCTTTTGTGGGTATTTTGAGGTTGAATTGATTTTAAAATGAACATTAAAAAAAAAAAAATCAGATTAGCAGTGCATGTCTCTTGTAATGCCTTAACTCTTGAACCGTATAGATCATTCTTTGAATAAACATCACATAGAAAAATATTTGCTTCTACTACATTGTGCATTTGAGAGCTAAGTAAAACGTGACAATGGGCAAAAGTGAACACTGTAGACTGTCTTACTGTCAGGAACCAATTACAAGCTTTGCTGAACCTGCCTATTTCAGCAGCACCTGGCAAGATCACAGTGAAGAGAATCTTTCTAGCAGATGCCTTTAGGCATTTCTGCTAAAAACATTTTAGATGTTCAGCTCATAACAGTGTCATTAGCGACCTCTGAATATGGCACAGGAAAGTCACAGTTCTTGGAAGAAACTGCAATCAGGTGAGCTGTCAAGATTCAGCAGTCAAGATTTCTGAACAAGAGGTGGGTGCTCAGAATAACTTTTCTATAAGCTCAAGCACTTCAGCATTTATGAGCTACAAGGCACTGAATTTGTCAAGGATTATTTTGGGGACTCATTTAATGTGTTCATGTATGACCTCAGCACAAAAAAAAAATCAGGAACAGTTTGCTTGAGGTTTGCTAGACGTCACTTCTGCTGCAGAGAAGGAAGAGGACAACTCACACAACTGCTACTTCGGAGGATGACACAACAGATAAAAGGGATGAAATTCAGCTCTACCAAGCACAAAGTCCTGCCCAGGGGAAATAAAAACCACCACCTCCCTACAGACTGAGAGCCTGCCTGTTGGAAACAGAGCAAGTGGAGGATTTCGATGTAGTAGCCAGCCATTACACAGGTTCAGATGAAAGTAGTGTGCAGACATAAAACAAAGGGAAACAAGGCATGCCTGGCTTAGAGACAGTTACAAAGTGGGTGTGTAAGGAATCCATCAAAGAAGGTGCCCAGGCTTTGTACTTGCACAGGAAAGCCGAGGTGGAGAGCAGGAAGGGCTCCCAGCCCTGTCCTAGCTAGTGGCTCCTCAGGGCACACAGCTGGTGGCAGCCCCCCCAGCCCCAGCCTCCCTCCAACTGTCTGTGGATAAATCTATCTCTATTATGGACTGATTTCCAAGTCTCAGTAATTATACACACTGGAAAAGCAGTAACTGGAAAGTATTTTCTGTATTAGGGAACCTGCTTTTGAACTGGATCCTGGTATTTATTCTCCTGAGAAGTGAAAAATCCTCCAATTTACGTGGATCTTGAAAAATCAGCAATCGTGAGGGTTAGCATGAAGATATACTTAGAGTAACCGAAGAAAGTAGATCATTAAGGCTACAAACCTGACATCTACCCTTGTACCTCCTGCAGAGCCACTTTGCCTCCAAATGCGTGAGCGAGCTGCGCCAACAGTTTTATGCAGAGGTTATGCATCTGCCTTACTGTCCCCCATATATGTAGCACAGATGCATGTTTGGTACTGTGATCAGTTTCACAATTAATAATTTAAGTAAAATGCTGAGTCAGCTGGTGATTTCATGGCTTGACATTAGGCGTTTCACTTACCTTTCCATCTTTGTCATAGGGTGAATCAAAATTATCTAGAAAGGCCCTAAAAACTTGATCTTCTGTCCAGTCTCCATTTTGGTATTTAGGATGATGCTTTGCATTATACACCCCACGTAAGTCTTCAATTGTTATGACACCATCTCCAGTTTTATCTAACTTCCTAAACGCCTGCATGATGATTTCTTTTCTTGCATTTGACATAGGAGGCTGTAAAGAAGTATTAACAGAATCATTTTATTTCTGCCAACTACTTGCCCAGTTCCAATTTCAAGTAACTGCTGTTATTAATAGTAAAACTATTTCAAGGCACTTGGGACAACAAACTGCTGACAGTCTACACTGTCCATGAGATAGAAAGGGTAATATATCACCAAAAAGAGCAGTGTGGTCAAAACTATTCAGAAACTATCATTACAGTAGTAAATGGACAATATGAGAGAAAATGCTACCTAGAACATTTTTCTATTGTACCCTTTTAAAATATTTCTAACAAGAAATTACTCATTTATCTAAGCACAAATTATTTTCTTTCTTATTTGTTTAGTCTTCAGTAGAGTAAAGAGGCTCCAACTAAAATCAGTCACACTGTGGTTGATTAGAGAAAGCCAACTCTGGGCTAAGGTGATGCATCATAAAATAACAGACAAAGAAGTGAGATTAATACACTGAACCACATAGGTACCACGACTGTAATATAGGAATGTAGGTAACTAAATCAAGGAAGCAATTCATTAAAAATAATCACAACCCTTTATTTGCAACTATTCTATTCTATTCTATTCTATTCTATTCTATTCTATTCTATTCTATTCTATTCTATTCTATTCTATTCTATTCTATTCTATTCTATTCTATTCTATTCTATTCTATTCTATTCTATTCTATTCCATTCCATTCCATTCCATTCCATTCCATTCCATTCCATTCCATTTGTGAGAAGCCTTAAGCTTTTCAATAAATTGCAGAGATGTGTTGGCTTCTGAGCTCTCCCATCCACAGAGGTGTTATTTAGAGTGATTTTTCTCCCTTAAGATATTTACATGGAAATAGAGTATTTTAGCTTCTCAAGAGTTACTGACTTTTTAAACAGAGCTGTAGACTTTGCTAATTACTAATGTGAACAGAAGTGTTGTGTGTTGTGTTTTGTTTTCAGCTAGTCACAAATCAAGATTTTTCTCCATTTTATGCAGTAATAACATAAATTCCCAGACTTACTCTCAGAGTAACAAGAAATTCATCAAAATCAATTGTTCCATTGCCATCTTTATCAAATATCCGGAAAATTTCTTGTGCTTCGTCTTTGTCTATCATCATAGCATAATCATTTAATCCTTTCACAAATTCTTTGAAATCCAGGGTCCTGCTGTTGTCATCATCCATAATCCGAAATACTCTGTGGAAAATGTGCAATTTGAAGGGAATGCATAGGATAACTTGGACAATGCTGCAGCAGTTTCTCATAGTGCTGGAGCACGGGGACCCTTTACTGAGATAACATTTCCCCCATGTACAGTCTTCTAGGGAAAAAAAAAAAAAATTAAAACTAAGAAAAAAAAAAGGAGGGGGAAACCCCCACAGACACACACACACACAACCCCAAGCCCAGAACCCCCCCCCCCACACACACTTATTGACAGCAGAGATTAATTGCTTAGATTGGGTGCCTGAATATTACACAGCCGAAGCTAATGAGGTGAAGGCTGACTTAACTGAAGGAGTCTTCCTATTCATTACACATTGAACCATGTACAAGTTGGGCATGTAAATGAAGTTCCATCTAATCACCTAGGATCTCTCTGTTGTTTATGGGGCCCAGGAGCAGGTTTAGGGTGTGATGCAGGTCCCTTTCCCTAAGGGTGGGGTGACCCACACTCTCACAGTGACTGCAGAAGGAGTCTAAACGAATCCCATAAACTAGGCAGCTAATAGACCATTACACACAAGGGAATCACACCCCTAAACAAAGGAAGAACAAAATCCCAAGTATTGAGATATTAATTATAGAAAATACCAAAGTAAGAGATAATATTTTGTGTTCCCCCTCTCTCCCTGGCAAGAGTCCTGTGTCTTAAGGAAGCACCTTCCTCTGAGGCATTCATGGTCCTCAGTCCTTCAACAGTTGAGCAGGTCAGTCCTGTCCCCCAAAACACAGGAGCCCCAAGCCCAGGCTCTGTGGGTTGTGGCATTTGCATTGGAAACAGGAAACTCAAGTTTCGGTCCCTGCTTAGCCCATGAGCCTCTTGCAACTAAAACTATGAGGCTGAATAATGGATTTGACTTCTTAGACTCACCTGCCGAGTCCTTTGATGCCAGCAGATCCCCTTGCTAAACACTGCAGGCGAAGTCTTTCAACGGGGTCAGTGGTTTTGGACAGGTTTCTTTTGGCCTGGATTGCCATCTCTCTGTCATGCCTTGCTGTGCCCGGCATCTGGAAGACCAAAGTGCTCATATGGCATGGAATCACATATACCAGGCAGAGTGCTGAAACCTGCCCTAGTATATGGAGCATCCCAAATCCCTCCCTTGCAAGGTGCTGGCAACTCCCTCATGAGGACTTCTTTTGACCCTCTCATCCCTTTTCCTTATATCCTTTTATCAGAAGGGGAAATTGACAATATGGACCACCAACCCTGAAAGGAGAGCTCATCCAACCACCCTGTGATTAACCTAGATGCAAATATGAAAGTGTGGGTAAGAATTTGCTGCTTACATTGTCTGAACACGGTGAAAACTCTTGGATGCAGCCAGCAGAGCACTGCTGCCTCCACATCACCAGCAGCCCTGCCAAGCCTCCTCATCCTAGCCAGGTTTCCAGTTAGCATTTGCCCACAGGTAGAGCTTTTTTGTGACAGCAAAAATTGTCCTGGCTGGGCACCTTTTTCTTATGTTTGCCTTTGTTCCACTGTAGTCCTAATTCTCCAGAGCAGGGCTTTCTCCCATTGCATATTTGAGCAACGGCAATCAGCCCGAGACTTGACCCTGCCTACAGATGACACCTTGTGTTATTTCAACACAACTGCAGAACAAATTTATACCTTAAACTTACACAGCATTTAGCACCTCAGGATTTCAGGAATCTGCCAACAGTCACACAATCCTTCCAGCTTCCATCAGGGGAAGACAGTTGAATAAAAAGTAGGAAAACCAGCCCATGGACATGCAGCGCTGCAACAGCACCACCAAGAGCAGCAGGCCTGGGCTGGTAGAGGGTAGTTCCTTCTCCCAGAGGGGTTATTTGTGCCTTGTGCTAGGAACACCAGGGCTGCCCATTTCCATACTAACATTTTAGGGGTACATTGAATGCTGGACCCTGGACACTTGCTCAGGGCCAGGGCTGCCACTCCCTAGCCTGGCTACCGGGTCTGCAGATTGCAAAGGCCCAAAAATTATTTTCCAGTCTTTAAAGTATCACAAGACCAGGGGTTGAAAGAGTTACAGAAGGACTGGGTTGAGTTACAGAAGAGCTCTTGACTCAGAGTACACTTGGTGCTCTGCTGAGGGTGCTCTGGGATGGGAACATGAAGAAGATGGGCTGCCCTGTGAGGCATCATCCGTGCATGTTGCACTTCCAATCTCATTATCATTGCACATGCCGAAGCGTAAACTGAAATGGTCAGAGAAAGCTTCTGAGAAACATGGAATTAAACTGTTTCTCTGCTCCTGTCTACAGAGCATTGGCTATGGCAGCTGGTAATGTCACATGTGCTGACTTTTGCAACCCATACAGACAACACCAGCAGGGCTTGGAAAAACAGAAAAATAAAATGTTTTTTTTCATCCTCAAAAGGTTTCAGTGCTAACTTATTGTAGAAGTCTAACATGGTAGAAAAGAGAGCATTTCAGATTTGCCTTAGCCAGAATGAGCAAAATTCTTCTGGGAACTCATTAGTGAGTGACCAAAAAGACCTTACAGCTATGTGAGACCAGCAGTCACAAATGTTTTCAGCAAATAAAAACCTGTCTTTAAGAGGAGATTTTTAGCTAGCAAGAACATAGAATACAATGAGGTTACATAACACAGTACAAAATGTATTTACATTACGTAAATATGCACTATAGCTTACATATATATATAATGCCTGTGCATCTGTATACAGACTGTGTAATGCATGCATAGCACTGCTCAGTATGCCTCTATACTATGTTATGAATTTATATAGATGTATGAATATTGAGACCAAAGATGACATCATTCATCTCCACTGCACTCTGCAAACATCTACACAAACACACACCATGCAGAGTGTAGTAGCTCTTTGCCTTGAGTTCAGTGGAGTCATTTCCAGCATACTGCAATGCACATCAAATAATCATTGCAGCAAGATTAACGAATTGAGGCTAGGGAGAGATCATCTGGTATGGTATCTATTATGATCTTCTGTACCTCAATAAAAGCCACTGAAACTGGCCAATCCTCAGTTATCTCTGCAGTAAGTATAAAGTTTGCTTCTACACCTATAAACACTTGTAACTGAGAAGTCACCATTTCTAGGTTAAGTTGTTCCAGTATTGAGTCATTTTCTTTTTAAAATATGTTCTTTGTTTGTAGTATGAATTTCCCCCATTATTAGATGATGTTTTACTTCCTTTTACAAGATTAAAGAGCTACTTATTAAAAATTTGTCCACATGCAAACACTTGAAACACTCTTTTAAACCCTCTTTGGCTAAATAATTAGACAGAGGTTAGGACTCTTGCTACAAAATGAGTTTCTAGATGTTAGATAATTCTGCTGTTGTTCCTGAACTTTTCCATTTTTTTCCAGTATTTCTTCTGATGTGGAACAGAGCACTCTAATAATCTCACTAATGCCACAGGCAGAGATATTCCCTTTTTTTTCCCCCATGTATCATGGTTAAAAACACTAATAGTAAATATTTCTGCTGCTCATTGCAAATCTTCATTCTCTGTAATGTTCAGTAACAAAATCACCAACACCATGTTGTTACATAAAACTCAGCAACTGAAGTCTGTTTGTAAAGTGATTGCACTTACACATCACACTAAAGCTTTTTAAACATGATCTGGCTTCCTGTATCACACAGCAGTATGCATTTGAGAATCCTTTCTATACATTAAATAAACACATAAAAACAGTTAAATATAAACCCTACTACATGCAAGCCTAGTCCATAGTAACACATCTACCACTTCTCTATTTCTGCTGGCTGCTGGTTTAAGCTAGAAATAAACCCTTCCTAGGCTGTTAAAAGACTATACTGCATTTTAAGAAGACAGATTCTGAATCAGAGCAAGGATGGAGGAGTCACAGCAACTCACAGGGTCTGCCTTTTATTTTGTTTTTCCTCCTTTTTGGATACTGTGAAGTAATTAAAGATACAGTCAGGATTTGCTGAATGTAACAGTTCTCTGTATACCTTATAAATGTGTTATGTATTAACAACCATTAATAAAACAAGGTAAGGTCATAACCATAATTTTGCATGTTTTTAATTCTTTTATCTCTTCAAGATCATCAGTCAGATGTGTCCCACAGTGAAATGAAAAAGGAGTTGTTTAACTGTGAACAGAATTAAACTAAATTCTGAACAGCTACACAGCTTTGTTTTGTGTAACAGGTCGGGCTATGAGCAATTACAATACCCACGTTCATTCTTTGTTTCTACGGGCAATGTTGTGTTGTGCAGTCTGAACAGAAATTATTGCACTTCTTAACAAATACGAAACTTGAAATTTTGGATTGTTTTTTTTCAGAAGAAACTTAGGCTGTTCAGCAACTAGATCCCTTTATATCCCTCTAAGCCTGAGGCTTAAACCTGGAAAGAGATTTAATCTAAAATCAGCACCATCTGTTTATATGTTATCCTTCAACAGACTCCATGAGCCTCCTGTGAAAATCCTGGAAAACACCCCAGTGTGGCAGGCAGAAACCCATACTAACCTCTGCATTACTGTACCCCTGAACAGAAGATCTCAGACTCTGAGAATAGATTTAGTGGCCTAAAATAATCCCACACATTTGTTTTATTTCTAACAAATGAATTAAATTATTAGAAGACAAAAACTGTGTGAGTATTTAGCAACCATTTGAACACCTCCTTAAAAATCTGTCTTCCCAGTCCCACTTGCTCTTCTGTAGCAGCCTCCCCTCTGCCTCTCCATCACCCCCAGCATCATCTGGCTCCCACCTTCTGACAGGTGGAACATTACTGCTCTTGCTATTTTGCACATATTTGCATGTATAATTTGCATGTTTATATATATGCAAAATATAATCACAAAAAAATATATATAATGGTATATGTATATAAAAAACCCCTTCTGTTGGCTAAACCCCAAGCTCAACTGATTGTAGAAGCTCACTGTGAGCTAGCAAACAAGAGAGAAAATCCTTTACCTGCAATGTTATCCTGCACCCAGGGTTTCCACCCAGGACCTGGGAGGTGTTGGGGGGCTGGGGCAGCGCCGTGCCCCACCTGCCTCCCCGCTCCCAGCTCTCACAGGGGTCAGGTGGCAAGTGGCGGGGATGGAGGGCCGCAGGCTCACTGCAGAGCTTCCTTGTCCATCTCGTTTTACTTGTTTAAACACCCAGCTGCCCTGCCCCCCCCCTTTTTGGGGAGGCCTGGCGTTTACCAGCCGGTCTCCAAGGTGACACTGGTAGCTGTGGCTGCCCCAGTCTGCAATTACGCCACTTCCCTGGGCGATTGCCACTGGGTTGCAAGAGTCCTTTTATTTAACTTCTTTTTAAATCTATGACTTCCTTCTCTTCTCTGCCTACATGGGCTGGGGGAGGGAGTGTGGGAGCACCTTGCACTGCCCCTCACGGAGATGCCCAGGGATGCCTGCAGGAGGTTGCGGCATCACCGTGCCAACGCTGGGCATGGCTATGTTTTCATAACATGTTTCTCTGCTCCATAGTTGATACGGTTGAAAAAAACTTGCTGGTTCAATCATTTACTCAAAACACAATAGGAGAAAATAAGTAAAAGCCTGCCTATTGTATTTCACAAAAAACCCAAGTTGCTGGTGTATTTTTTTTCCTGCTGATTAACTGTGATTTTGAAGCCCTGCTGGTGGTGAGAACCTCTGGGGAGATGTTGAGATTGTGTTCATTTGCATCAAGAAGAAAACTGAAAAGATTAAACATCCGTATGATGAGGAAAAATTGCTCCCTGCTTAGACACAGCCACTGACAGCTCTGTCTGCAGAAGGTCACAAATGTTACCAGTGATGCAGCGTAACACTTGGCGAAGGAATTGGTGTATTGATAGACTCCTTAGGGGTAAAATATAGCCTGTTACAGTCCCTGGGCCTCTCCAGCAGCAGCAAGCCGAGCACACAGGATCAGGGCTGGTGGCAACGGCAGCCTGTACAAGTCGGCATGAGAGCACATGGGAAAAGGAGAGAAAGTTCAGTTCTGCCCATGGATAAAACACCGAGCAAGAATGAATACGTGCATTGTTTCCTGATGATAGCAGAAAATTATGTTAGGCAATTACTAGAGTAATAACATTTGCATCCTGGCAAGCTGCTTATCTTTCATCGACAAGTACTTCCTGGTACTAAACCGTAGCTTGTGCAAGACTTTGTATATGCTTTATATCTCTCATCTGGCAACTGATTGTACATTAATGCACAAGCAGGAAACAATGATTATTTAATCACTCAGTGATTCAAAAACATTGACTTTGTGACAATGTAACATCCCCCCCATCTGCTATCTTTGTTTTGTGAATTGATCTCCAGAGGCCTCCTGGGAGTACAGAAGAGATAAGGGGCTCCGAATATGACCTGGGCTGCCAGCAATGGAGGAGCAGCCCCTGCCGTCTACCAGCACACACTGCAAAGGCAAAACGGAGACACTGATACCTGGAGAAATAATTTTCACTGAACAACAACTTGGTCCTTGAAATTCAGCATTCCACCTGACTAAAGCGATTATTCAAATGCAGAATTTGCACTGACTTTCAAAGGGATGCATGTAGGTTGGAACAGCAAGGCCAGCCTCTTGAAAACAAAATAATAAGTTAATTTTACATCTGTGTACTCGGCTGCCTTTCCTGCCCTCTGCCAGTGAGCTCAGGCATACACATACACACACAGTTGTTCAGTCTACCTTCCACACACACCCCTGGAAACTGGACTGTGCCGTGTCTGAGCTGGTTAATGAGTTATGAATCTGAAAAAATTATTAATGTGCTTTCAAATGTCTCTAATTGCATCAAGCTGTGATTAAGTTTATTTGATTGTACCTGCTTTGTTACTGTGCACAAAGCTGTAAGCAGAGCTCAGTGAATTCAGAATTTATCATAAAGGAGATAGAGATTTCGTCAAAACTCCAGAATTTTTCCTCCTCATTTTTTAACTAACTCTGAATGCATACCTGTCTGATTTTTTGTTTTATTCAGTCTGAATAGCCTGAAATGTCTGTTCAGTTTGTGGTTCAGTCCTGGACTGAACCTACTAAGAAAAAAAATCTATGAGATCTAACATGATCTATATGCTTATGGCAGAGATTGAGATCTTGTCAATTTACGTTTCTGAAAATTCAGATTTCTTGTTGAATTTTGTCAGGTGGAAATGTATAAGAAATGCCTTATAAGCATTATAAGAAGTGTCTCAAAGAAAAGAGAGAAGCCACTGCATTTTCTGCTATGGTTTACATGCACTAGCATTATTTCTTAATGTGCTACCTGTGACCATCACCACTGAGAAGTTCTCCAGCAGTGAGAAGTGCACATATGAACATGTCTGCTTGTACTTGCTAAGGGAATCAGCATGGTGTTTAATTTTCAGTACAACTAAATTAGCAGGTTAAAAAAATAAAGCAAGCATGAAGTATCAGAACACTCTACACCAAAGAAGATTAATTTTACAGAATAAATCTTTGGGGCTTTTTCCTGCCATTAAAATTGAGAAAGTTTCACATACACCGAAAAAGAAACCCCCATGGTAAGTAACATTGTCAAGGGAAAAGTATTCCCATTTTAAACCAAGCGATTATCCAATTAAATTGAACTCCCAATCCAAATAAAATGCTTTTATATCCAAAAATGTTGTCTCCCTATGTGGTCAGTAGTTATCCAGCTGAAATTAATTATGCTCATGATTGTTCTCCAGAGCTGAGACCAGCTGTCATATGCAGACCATGCTCATGCTACTGAACTCCTTCCAAAGAGTGTGGTCACATCCAACCTGCCTTCTAGGGATGGTCCCCTGCCCTGCTCTCAACAGAGATGCATCCCGGTCTCTCCACACGGGTCTGACCCCACCCCAGTGACCCTCAGCTCATCCCTCCAAGCCAAGGGGACTTTCCAGCCCAGAGAGTGCACGGTACCGGCAGCGCCTGCCTGACGGATCGCCCTGCCCAGTTACACGTCTTCAGCATTCCTCTTACCTTGTCTTGCCTTACCTTCTCCCCCAATCTGCAGAAGCACAAACAGATTTTTTTTTTTTTTTAACACTATGTCTGCTGTTAAAGGCATGTGTCGCTTAATAAGTCTTTTAAGGTAGTTTGAGATCAGGAGCATTCCAGAAAAGGCGTTAGTGATTTTGAAATATTTTTTTTTCTTGCAAATCTACCACAATTCTGCTTTCACGAGGAGAGTGGAAAATGAAAACTCTAGAGACTTCAACTTTTTAAGAAGTTCAGCAACTAATGTTTACCAAAACCCAATTATTTTTATCCTCTGTCTTGAAATAATGAAACTTTAAATTTTTAAAGAGTTCAGGCAAAGTGGAAAAAACTTAATGTTGATAGGGTTTGGGTTTGGCCTTTTTCTTTTTTCTTTTTTTTTTTCTTAATTTTCTCACATTTCTCAAAAATATTGACAAACTTCTGTCAACCATAGTCAAACAATGCAGCGGAGGTCTGACACACATGAGAAACTTCTATGCTCAACACTCTCTCTTTCTTCCAGATAAGAAAACAGTTAAATAGACCCAGCATTTAGTAGGAACAAATACCTTTTGATGCTGAAAAGTTGTGCTTGATCATTACAGAGGGGAGGAGGTAAGGAAGAACAGGAATGCAGTCTACAGCTTGCCACAACAAAACCCAGAACAATCTGTCCTTAGTGAAGAGGGCAAAGAGAAGGGAGCCAAAACCAGAGAGGAGAAGATTTCAGTTAGCTGCTCCTCAAAGAGGCCTCCCTAAAGACGATCATAAAGTGCTGGAATATGCTGGGGGAAGAAGAGTGGCTGGGAAGTCTCTGCCCTTGGCACAGGCACATGCCAAGAGGGGAAATCTCGGTCATTTTTTTTATGTCCCTTCCAGTCATGTGAAATGTGGATTTTTACAGGTATATGGGATCATGCAGGCACAATTAGGCAGAAGCAAAAAAGGTGGTAAGGAGGCAATGTCAGCGGTTGTACAAGAGAGGCTCGTTCTTCTACGACATGGGCAAAGCACTGGCTGCTGGAGTAACTGGAGGCTGCAAGGAGGAGATGATGTATTACTTGCCAGCAAGGGGAATGCTTTTCTTGTCAGTCTGTGGAGCCTGTCTGACTGCAGCTATTACTTCAGTCTATGTGGTACCATTTCTAAAATAGCCACAAATAGGATACATTTTTTTGTTGTTGTTCTCTGGATCTTCCTCTCCAAATTACCAGGGACAGTTTTGGTTCCTGACTCCAGAAACTTGCTGGTGGCATGTGAGTCAGATGCTTTTCCCTACCAGGGCATGCTTGACATGACAACACGATTCAGCATGGGTCTACCTAACCCAACAACCACCTTCTTATTAGCTCTACTCATTAATGCATTGGTGATACACCACTGGTCTATAGAGCTTAGTGATGTCCCAAATTCCCTTCTCTCCATGGCCTGCTACCTTCAGAAGTGACTTTTGTCATACACAGAAGGATTAGCTATTGTCAGGCTCCTCTGCACATGTTGAGCCTTAAGATAGTGCCACCTTGGCATATGAGATGCTGTTGCCTCAGTGAAGATCTCATTTCTCTGGCTGCAAAGAACAGATTAGTACAGGGTTGAGTCAGCAGACTAAAGAACCAAGGCCAGATTTCAAAATAGATTAAAGTAAAGTACTGGCATTTACCCTCTACTTATTCTGCAATGCCCAAAACCTTGTGGTCTTTGACCACCACAACTTGAACATTCAACTCCTTCAAGAGTACTGCTGTTCAAAGAGGGGAGCCTCCCCCAATTCTGACCTGATCCCAGAAACAGTGAGAGACCAATCATATGCACTTAGGGACATTTTAGTCACCAATGACACCCCCAGGTATCTGCACAGAGCTACACAGGACTTACCTGCACTGTCCTCAGAGAGGACCTAAAAGGATGGCAGAACACCTAATGGTACTAGATGCTGTGATTTAGGCAACCAAATTACCCTCTGGCTGTCCCTCCTACAGAATTACAGTATCGTAAAAACATTTAAAATTAAAAATCAGTTTGTTTGGGTCAGCCCAATGGTCTACTGGCCTAATCTCTTAATCCCCATAGTGGCCAGCAGCCACCATTTGGGTATAAGCACTGGGCATGACTGTAGAGTTCTCCTTCCCCACCTGTCCTCCAGCAACCCGCTATGTCCCAGCTTCCTGAGCTGAAAGTCACAC